TTTATTTCACTTCAACATCTCAAATCTTATTTCATTCCCATTTATACGCATATTTCAATTCCATTTCATTCCACTTTAGTCCACAATAACAATAAAATTTCATTCCATTCACCCATTTCACATTGCACTTTCATTCACGTCTAGAGGGAACGACATGGAATGGCACACAAGCCGTTTAGTAAGCCTCAATTGTGCATGACTTGGACTAGAAACGAGAGAGAAGAAAAGCGCCAAAGACGCAGAGACTCGATAAGGAGGCAGAGCCCTCGATGGGTTCCATTTCCAGTTCCATTTTGCAGTCGCACTTTGTGCGAAGCTCTGGGTGAAATTTATGTAATTTATATGGGCACTTGACTGTCTAAATTGCCTGCGGAGAGCAGCACCGACCACGCCTACCTACCCCCAAGCCCCCACATTTGTTTCCTTATAGAAGAAGTTCTTGCTGCTGCTGCTGCTGCTGCTGCCACTTTTTATATCATCTACTTAGCCCTAATGGCAAATAATTAATTTCGTGCTTCCGCGTTTCGTGTCGCCCACACGCCCACTGACCAGAGCTGGCCAGAAGTGGGCTGAGCTGGCCGAGCTGAGCTAAGGGTAGGGCGCAACACCTACCCCCAACGACCATTTTCAATTTACAAATTGCTTATTTTTCGAAAACCAAATTGCGAGTGCCTTGGACTTGGAGCGCAGGCCAACCAACTGGCAGTTAATGCATTTTACGTGGCCAGTCAGACGGACGGACGTACGGCCGGACGGGCAGTCAGACAACCTAGCCAGTCGAGCAGACCCGCAAGCCAAAAAGCTGGTGGCTCCTGTTCGAGCAGGCAGCTCAATTACGGTTATAAATTTTGCCCAAGCCAAAATGGCGCAGCTCGAAATGAATAGCCTGACTGCCTGGCAGCCTGAACAGCCCCTCTAGCTCCAAGCACAACGCCAACACCAACCCCAGCCCCCTCACACACTCTGCGCAAAATGTTATTAACTTCTTTTAGCCGAGTTGAGCCAAATTACATTGCGGTTGCCACTCAGCAGTCACTTTTATTGAGCTCCTCAGTTATCCTCGCTTATTTCGGCTGTCATTAGACGCTGCCCCGCCCACTTTTGCACGGGTCGCCAGCGGGAGGGGGCAGCAATATTTATGGTGCGACATTTCAGCGAAATTTCGAGGCATGAAAACAAATTTATTGGCGCCATCAAATTGTTTTTGGGGCTACGCCTTTACGCTCTACGCGCTGTCTCTCTCTATCTCTCTCTCTCTTTCACTCGACCCTTTTCCCATTCTCTGCGCTGTCATCACAAAACGTGGTCCAATTGCCTCGTCCACTTGGCCTTTTTATGGCCAACGCATAATTTTGTTGAGAGCTCTCTAACCATCACTCTGTGCCCCCTCTCTCTCGCCCTCTCTCTCTCTCTCTGGGCCACTTACACACTGAGCCGCCATTTTCCGACTGAATGGCCAATGCATAAAACGCATAATAAAATAAATGACTAAACAGAATTACGATAAAGACCCGAAATGTAGAGGAAGTCAAACGTAAAACTTCGACTAGAATTTGATGCAATGTTTTTTATTTTATTTCAAGCAGCTCAAAGTAAAATGTTTGCACTTGAAACGAGTAATAAAAATATTTAAATGGAAATGATATGAAAATAAATATAATATAAATATTTAAATATAACATATGTATATTAGCAGTATTAGGTCTAAAAATATATATAAAAGATATATGAATCTAAACCAATTTTAAATAGCCTTTTTAATATCTTCTCTAGCCTCTACTATTTTCATGAACCACCAAATTTTGTACATTTGTCTTTCTCAAGCAACAAAGTCCACTAGTTCCTCAGTTTGTTACCAAAAAAACATATCATATTATGAGAAATATATTAGAATTTATATCCGTTTCCATTTGTATTCAAATTATTATTATATTAATTATTATATATTATATTATAGCTATTCAAATTTATATATGATTTGCATATTGGTAATATCAGGAGGTTTTTCAGCTGCTGAAGGGACTCTTATTGACAATCTCTTTTCATTATAAATAGTTTTCAGATTTCCAATTTTCCAATTTGAATCGCAATCCAATTGGAATTCAATTCAAACGACTTCATTGCAACTGTCATACCTTAAACTAAACGAATTATATTGCAGTACTGTTACGCTCTGAAAGCCTATTTTTAAACTAAAAATATTAAAAAATAGATTTATTAAATTCAATAAAGAATTTTACAATTTATTTAAGTGAATTAATTTTATATATTTTATTATTTGTTTTAGTTTTATTCCTGCTAAAATACAATTTTTTAACTTTTATGCTTTATATTTATTTCTTATTTGCAAATATTATACTTAAACATTTTTTAATTATAATTAAATTTATTAAATACAGCAATTAAATTAAATATATTTATAATTAATGTATATTATAATAAAATGAAACAAAAATAAATTAATATATATTTTATAATCTTTCCAGCTTTCAGCTTAAATTCCAATTCCAATTAATTCCCAATGCAAAACTTTCGTACTGGCTACAGAAATAACTTTGTTACTTAACCGCATTCCCATTAATATAACAGTTTTCACGATCTACGCACATATTAATATACATATTGCAGTTGCTGTCTCTTTCGCGCTTACGCGTAGATCTCGCTTAATTTCATTTCATTCATTTGGCCCACAAAATCAATTAAAAGCGCAATTAATTTGTTTGACAGCTAAAGAAAACAAACGCCAGACTTTTGAGTAAAGCTCAACCAGAGCAGAAGAAGAGAGCGAGCGAGCGGGGGAGAGCAAGCGGGAGGAAGGCAGTGAGCAGGCAAATTAAATGGCGCATAGATGAACAAATGAAACGCAAATAAAGAGCAACAACAACAGCAAAAGCTCAGCGATGGCAGCGGCAGCAGAGACGTAATAATAAAAGTAATTTAATTTTAATGAAATTGTTAATACGAAAACAATTTCATTTTGTAAAAAGTTTCACAATGCTGCCGCCTCCCCAATCCCAGCAGCAGCAACGACAGGGGGCGTGGCAGGCAGGCAGCGTAAATTGCTCGTGACAATGAGTGAGTGCAAAGGAATACAAAAAGTACACACACACATGCACACATGCGAAAAAGTTGCACAAACAGAAAAACAAATAAATAAAAAGCGTGCGAAAAAGAGAAAACCAAAAAGCCAGCAGCAACAGCACCAACAACAACCAGAGAACAAATGCCGTCGGTAGAGTAACGGCAACAACAGTTGTTGGCAAACGGCAAACGCAAACGGAAAAAGGAGAGAGAATACGAAAAATGAAATGCTGATGCGAAGATTTAATAAATGAAATTGGTGTGTGATTAAAAACACAAAAACCAAACGAAATCCATCTAATCAACTTTTGCTGCCGCCATCGTCCTTCTCGCCCTCGCCTAACTGCTCTTCCACCTTCCTCCCTTCATAACACCACACCTTTACGATTTACAGTTAGCAAGAGCAACGGCGACAGCGACAGCGCAGCAGCAGAAGTACACAGAAGCAGCGACGCATACCGGTGGGTGGCTGTATTGGAACGCCTACAAACTGCAGCTGGCGGGGTATACAAATACTGGGAAAATTATTATATATAAAGGGAATAGCTGCTGGGATGATCATGTCAAGGCTATAAAAATGTTATATAAATAAAAATTAAAGGCATACATAATAATCGTAAGAAAAGTGGTTGCTTCTGCAAACATTTTTTATTATTTTTCTACCATTTATTCTTTTTACACCTATTTCTTTTTATATAAAATTTTCCCACTAACCCATTTTCCCACTTTTCACTTTTCGCCTTTACTGGTACTTTTTTGTTGGCTCCACCCCTATGTATGTGCATAAAATGGCTGTATCTCTGTATCTCGCTTGCGCTTTGTATCATAGGCACTGCAAAATTAGTTCTGCGCCTTAGAGCAACAGAGAAGCAAAAACCCAGCACATGAATGTATTGCATTACACTTAGCTTTTGTCAGTGAGTAGCATATTTCCCTTTCGTAGCTTACCTTTGCACCGGCTTTAGCATGTACAGCAACCTCTTGTGGGTTCTTGACTGGTTTAAGTACGAGCTCAAATTGATATTTCTGCTTTTGGTTCGAAACTGAACTAAAAAGCTCTAAAAGTTCGGCTTGTCAGATGTTAGATAAAGAAATCTGCATTCGGAAATTTAAATTAATTTTCCACTAATTCAATTGTACAAACATAAATCTTTAACTTTTGTGACAGAAATAAATAATTTCCTGCTCACATAATTAAAATTCTTAGTGGCAGCTTTCATTGCTTCTAATTGTCGTCAGCGACTTGTCTATAATTGAAATCGGTATATTTAGATATTTTCTGGTTAACGGCAGTTCAATAGAGGCAGCACTCACTCACGCAATTCTAAATTCGAGCTTAATTAAATTGATTTTAACTATCAACTAAGTCCCATAAAAAATAACAACTACTTCGTTCCACTTGATTCTACTCGATTTCAATCACAAACTCCCGTCCAGCTGCCAATGTGTTCCAAGCTGCTCTCAGCAACAGTAATAATCAACACAGAGTTCCAGCTACAACTACCTGTTATGTGACTTTATGTTCGAAACCTTTCTCTCACTCTTTCGATTTTTGCACTCCCTTAGAAAATTGTTATTATTCAAGCTCTCTCTTATGTTTGTGTTTTTATGTTGACGAACAAGCACTTAGATGCAAAAATGATCTCGGAGTCTTTTGTACGAGCAAAGTTTTGTAGACATTTTAACTTGTTATGAAAAGATTGGTATATTCTGTATATAACAAAAAAAAAAATGATTTTATTTATATTATATGTTGTATGTATAATTTACCTTTTCACAATTATTGATATATACAAACGGCCTTAACAACAACTTAATCCATATGTCAGCGCGAGAGCAGCTTCTACTCTGATAATGCGCTCACCGCTAGTGCTCGTACGACTTTGGGGCAGCGCCAGTCTCTCAGTTTGTGTCTCGCTTCCGCAGCGTTCGCTTCATACTGTCAAGCTGGACGCAACGTCGTCGTCGTCGTGTGCTCGTTTTTGTTGCCGTCGATTTTAGTCGAACGCTAGTCGAACGATCTAGCGCATATCGCACTGTGTGCTCAATTCCAACAACCACTACAATTACAACAACAACAAAAGCTAACCTGAGAACCGTTCTATTCCATATGTGCAGCAATTGAGCATAAAATGTAAATGCTTAACAAATGTTAAAGTTGAATGTTAAAAAGTGTAACTAAGTATAATTCGAGAAGACAAAAAAAGCAAAAAAATCATTGGCACGAAAAAAATGCACTTGTCAACCTCGCGGTGCATGCGAGCGAGCACTGAAAAGAAGAGGGGGAGAACGTGAAAGAGAGTGCGCGCTCATGTCATTTGACATTTTAGTTAGTCGCAACAACAACAATAAAATCAAACAGCAACAAAAAGCACAAAGCACGTTCTTTTTAATTTATAGTGGAAAATTAATAAATTAAACGTTTGCTGCTGTTTGTATATTTATATTGTGCATGCAAAGCGTGTAAAAAATTGCCAACAATTTGATTTTATTTATGCCAGCGGCTCACTCTATCTCATTCTCCCTCTCTCTCTCTCTCTACTTCTATTTCTCATATGACACATTTGCTTCGTTGTTTGTGATGTTGTTGCTTGCAATGAAAATCAAAAGCTGCACTTCCAATATCAATCAAAGCTTCCAAGCATGCACTCGCCACACTCCTTCTCTCTCTCTCCCTTTCCATCGCCCTATCTCGCTCACACCTGGTAGAAGCTAAAACAGAGACAGAGACAGCTGCCCACGCAGCTGCTTTAGCTGTGAATTTTGCGTCGCATTTTCTTTGCAAATCATTTTCCATTTGAGCCTCACAGCTGCTTTTCTACTTCTATGCATGCTTCTTCGTTCTGTTTTATAGTTTCACATTCTTTTTTTCCAATTTGTGCGCGCTGCTCGCTTCGTTTCTGTCTCGTTTGTTATTTGTGCTGCCCGCGCGCTTCTATTTTTAGCAACAATATTTTGTTGTTGCCGTTGCCTGGCTGCCTGTCAAGTTAACTACGCTACGCTAGCAGCGACAGCGACCGCGACAGCAACAACAAAGCACAGCAAATGCAGACAGACCAACTATGCGAGAGAGTGTAAGAGAACAAGAGAGTGAGAGCGCAGGTGATAACAAGAAGCAGGAGAACGAGAGAGCGAACAAAGGCTGTTCTGTTCACTTGTTTACCACGCTCAACAACTTGTTGCTCTCTCACACTCTCTCTTTTCAGTGCCCACGTTAAGCCTCACAAATACAAAAAAAAAAAAAACAGAAAACACCAACAACAACAAGAGCATTGTGACAAAGTACCAAAGTGCAGCGACGTTGTCGTCGACGTTGACGCTGCGTCGCCTGCATGTTTGCCTTAATTTCGTGCTTCCTGTGGAGAACGGACAAAAAGAACAACAAACAGTGGCAATAAAAAGCAACAAGTGGAAACAGCGGCGAAAATAACATCAGCGACAACAGCTTTCTTTAAAAGCCGGCTGCGCAGCATTAAGAAGAAGAGTGCGCGCACAAAGAATAGAGTGAAAAAGTGTAAGCGGGAGAGTACGATAGAGAGTACTGCAACAATAACAAATCAACTGCTCTCTTTCGTGTTTCTTTTAGTTCAACAACTGTCAAAATGTGAGTATTAATATGCAATTATTGTTTACTGTTGCATGATTTATAATTTTACTTGTACAACAAACACGCACGTACATATGTACTTAAGCCATATATGTGTGTGTGCATATATGTACATATGTATATTAAATGTTATTTATGGACTACGCCTACGATTTGCGATTGCACAATCGAGTGGAAAGTTGACGAGGCTATCGCCATTTTGAGCGCCCTTAAGCCGTGCCGCTCTTTGCATGTGGTGTATGCGTGTATAAGTGCGTGAGTGTGTGTGCCCTTGCGCCTGCATTGAATAATCAATGAAGGAGCTCAGCTTGAAAGCTCACAGAACTTAAGCCCTCGCACGTTATGGTTATTGTTATAGTTGGCATTAAAATACCATGTAAACAGAGATGTTAGGGTATAATGAACTTTGGTAAAAGACTGATGATTCGATAAGACTAACGTTGTATATATATATATATATATATATATATATATATATATATATATATATGTATATATATATATATATATATATATATATATATATATATATATATATATATATATATATGGTATCTCTTAGTTAGGTATGTACTTATATACAAATGTACGAAAAGGAACTTGGCCAAGTACATATATATATATATATTTCAATGTATATAAATACACATATACGCAGTCAATTCATAACTTCTTACAGAGTATCGGTTAGTCGGTCAGTCTGCACATCCAGCCCTTTTACTTATTGCATATTCATTTCTTTTGCATTCATTACCCACCCCAAAGTCCACACTCGATCGACTTATTGGTGTTGCTGTTGTTGTAGTTGTTGTTTGTCGTTTATTTTTAGACTTTTGTCATAAAGTTTAGAAACAAACAGCACAACGCGAAACAACTGCGGAAAAAAATACAAAATAAATAAAATAGCTGACAATTTGTGCCATAAAATTATTCGAGTATTTTGCGACGCGTCGGCTGCGGCGACGTCGGCGCCGGCGTCGTTTTACAACTGCGCAGCTTTTAAAATGGCAACAACAACAGAAAGAAGAACAACCGTTACTATCGGCGATAGCTTGATTGTTCTACCACTCGGCCAATTGAATAACTGTTACTGTTTAAAGTAAACGGAACAATGTTGAGTCAATACGTACGAAGACTTGAAGACACATTGAAGGGCGGAAATTTCCTTCAGACATTTTATCAATAAAAAGCTTGTAAACGTTTAGAAAGAATCTTAAGACATGCATTAAATTTGAAAGAAATTGATTGAAGAAATAGGAAAAATGTAAACAAAAATTTGTTTTTGTTTACGAATTGTTATGGTAGAATATTATAATACCCTGTAAACAATTGTAAAGTTGTTGAAAATGAGAATTTTAGACTTTGCAGAGGCAAGTAGAAACAATTCTCTGACTTTATTGATCATCCATATCTGTAAACAATAGATTTATAGGCAAGACTTTGTGGAGTACTCATCAAATGTTATATCAATATATGACTTAGACGTAGTCGCTCGTTATAGAATCAGTCATTTCTATATATAAAAGAATATTTTGATTAATTTGATTGTTTACTTTTAATCGCTGTCACGAAAATACACTGAAATAGATCCATCAAATGTGTTAAAAATATACAAATAAATATAATATTTGCCAAGTTGTATTATCTGTTTATTATATAAAACTAAACACAAAAGTTGTAGTACCTTGATAGCAACAGTTTTTATTGATCTGACAACTATATATATAATAAAGCATTACGTTCCTGATAAGCTGTTGTTTAGACTACGGAAATGTAGTAAGGCATGTAGGTAACGCAAATATGGGGAATGATTGAATCTGCTAAGATTTGAAACTGAAAGTTATGTCTTTTTGGGTGCTATACATAATATAGAGTTATTGGGTCGTTAAAGCTTTTTTAACAGAAATTTAATGGGAAACAGAATGTTTCTAATATGCGAGTGTTCACTGCACTAGTTAACAGTCAAATTTTATTGTATTATAAATTGATATGAAAAGGAAAACCAGTATTATATAGCTAAAAACCTAGCCCAATTTTGTAATCTGAACAATAAATTTAATTATTCTATTTATAATTCCCCCCAAAAAAGTCGACTCACATATAAAATGCCCAATCATGGTATCTAGGCATAAATAGAGCTATATTTAAATACAAATTTCGATCAGCATTTGCTAGAGGTGTACAAAAAGCAGCTCTCATTACCCATTGAGAATCTTATCAAAATAAACATTCAGGCGATTCTTGTATAACTCAAAATTCGCGAGGCGCTTCATGCGATATCAATTTATTTATTTGCTTTTCCCTCATTTGTTCATTTGCATTAGGAAAAGCAAACGAAAAGCGAAAAATGTGTAAGCAAAAGCCAAACAAACTGTAAATAAAGTCACAGATAAGAAGCAATCAAATGGAGAACTATGAAAGGTCCAATAACAAAAATAAAGTATATCAACTTGAAACTTAAGCTAGATAAATATGTGTCTTTGGATACCCATTCAAAACTGATACAACGGATATGATAATACAGGCGAAATGTGTGTAACAGAGCAAGAGAAACACTTTTGATCAAAGTGATCAAATTGAACTCAGTGTTGGTTCGATCGAGAAAACTTTGATATCGATATATTATCTGAGAGCATACCATATATGAATCCCTGATGTCTTGCGATATTTATCGAATATAAAGTAGCGTTGATATCGATATTTATTGATTGTTTATCATATATAAATCTTTAATGTACTTATTAATATCTCGCAATACTTATCGAATGTAAACTAGATATCGATACGCATATTAGATAATCATTGAAAATGAAATATATATAAGTAAAATATCTATAAATGTAATATGTGTATTAAAATGATAGAAAATATCGTCTTGGTTTATCGATATCTTCCACCATTTATTGCATATAACACAATAAAATAAATACGAAACTTGGCCGCAAAAGCACCAATACAAGAAAAACTAGAGCATGCCAGTTTAGAATGTATCTAACATACAGTTATAGATATATTATTAATATTTATCGAATTTACAAACAAAATTGGCAAAATATTGAAAACATATAGAATATCGTGCAAGGAAGACTGTAATTTATTATTTAAAAATATTCAAATTCAATTAATTTATATAGCATTCGAAGCATTCAAGCATATCGAATTTCCTTTAAAATATTTGCTCATATTTTTCACATAGTTCCGCAAATTTCCTTTGGCATTGTTAACCTTTTTTTTGGCCACGTGGAATAAGCTAAATTATTTTGCCTCTTTTTCTTATTCTTCTTCTATTAATTCGGCCAGCCGCGCCCCTCTTTTTTACAATTTGGCAAAGTCATAAGATTCACAGTTTTGCCGGCCGCTCTGCCTCTGCCTCTTCCACTCAGTTTGGCACTCTCGTTGCGCTTCTATAAGCTGCATATCAAATTCATGCCGAAATGACAAGTTTTTTACACGAGCCTCAGTCGGCGTCGCTGCTTGTTTACGTTTACAACACGAGAAGAGCAGAAGAGAGAGCAAGAGCAAGAGCGAGAGCGAGAGCGAGAGTTCGCTTGTAGCGTAAACAAAATGTCAAATCTTGCATATTGGAATGTGGTCCAAGCTTTCACAATGTTTGGGTCAATAATTAAGAGAGCGCAAACAATTTTAAGAGTGCTGCAAATGTTGCTCTTTGTGAGTTAAGTGAGCTGCGCATGCAAACAGCTGTTGTTGTCGTTGGCCTCAATTAATATTTTATTAATGAAAAATATGCTCTATTTGTAAATTAAACTTTGTTTCTATATTACTTAACATTTTGTTGCTTTTGTTTATAAATTACTCTTTATTTTTGCTTTGTTATAAATAATATATCGATTAACTGTGTGCGCACCCAAAAGCTTTTGCTGAATAAGCTCAACATTTGGCGAAAGCTTAACATATAAATATTCTGAAAGCTTGGCGCTGATATTCAGCAAAGCCGAGCGCTAACGGAAAAAGCTTTCAGTTTGAATGCAATTGAAGAAAAATATTTGAATACATTTAGTTTTATGCACGTACATAGAAGTAGTTATTTTTATTATTTGTATACATTTATTTATATATACCTAAGCAGCTTATCTTATTGATCTCTGATAGCAGCCCTTTTTTCTTTATTTTCCATTAAGCTTATTATCTAATTTTATGACTGCAGTATTTGCAAATGCATGCGTTGTTGTTATTATTGTTGTTGTTATTATCGTTGCCGCCCAAATAACCTTTCCATTACGTCAATCAAATGAAATATGTATGTAACATATTATTACATAAACCCGCGCAGCTTATATTGATAAGCTGCCAATGTCACCAAATGCAAACAGCGAACAACAACAAAAACAACAACAACGTCATCTATCGTAGTCGTATATTTCCGATCCCCCAAATCTGAACCTAACCTCAATTTAGGCGTCGCGTGTCGAGCTCGTAAGACTCGCTAAGTTTGCGTGCAGCTTGAATTTGTTTGCGAATGCAAAAAGTATCAAAATATTAATAATACTTTTTGATATACTCACATCTATTAAGGCACGTCCTATAAAAATGCGAATTGAGAGTGTGTGTGTGTTGATAAAGTCCAAATGCGAGGGCTGTTGGTTGGTTTTATGAGTAACTGAACGAATTGTTATGATCAACTAATGAACGATGTTGTTAAATATTTAATTAAAATTTTAAGTTATTTTGTCAAAATTATTTGATTTATTCAATTCAAAATTAGAACTTAAAACTTCAAGAGCAGCCCTCGTTTGATTTGCCATTTGCTCGACTTTTAAGCAAGTCGCTTTGTTTACATGCAATTTAATTAAATCAACTTACAATAAATAAATCACTTTTGCACTGAAAACAAGATTTCGTAATTATAAAAGAAACGAAAAGGAAAATGAAAAACAAAAAAAAACATAAAAATGCAATAGCGAAATTCGAATGAGCACAGAGTTAAAATAAATGTATTTATTGATATATATATATACAAATAAAATATATAATCAAGC